TTGTATCAAAGTTCAACTGTAAATCAAAGATGGGACGTAGTCAAACAGAGCAAAAGATGCCGGAAATGTCTCAGGCCACATCATACGAACGACTGTAGGAAGCCAGACGGTACTACCTGCGACAAATGCAAAAAGAACCACCACCGTTCTCTTCACAACGAGAAGATTAATTCGAATTTAAGTCCGCACGCAGTGCCTTTCCGAATGCAAGATATTCCTGCAGAAGGCAATACCAACTGCGCCACTAACCACAAAAAAGATTTCAAGCTCATCACTGGTTTATGTCCTGTCCAAAAGGGCAAAGTTATGGACTCAGGTGGAACGCTTGTTGAAATACTAGCGATGATAGATTCCGGATCAAACACAAGTCTGCTATCAAAGAATGCAGCCGAACGACGTGGAATAGCTGGGACAGTTACCCATCTTACTATGAATCTAGCAGGTGGAGAGAAGAGGTCTGAAGCTTCAGAAATCATCGAGATCACTATTGCCTCGACCATAGAAGAGGATATCAGAAAGACACTGGAAGTATACACTATAAAGAAACCTTGTAGTGCCGCGAAGACGATTTCGAAGGGAACTATTGAACACTTCCCTCATATCTTGGAAGTGTTTCATCGTTCCTTCTCATTCCAAGGCATTCTTGGAATGCCTTGGAATGAGAATGGACCCCCAAAACGCAGCAATTATGACATTGCCCTCAAAAGAATGCAGTCTGCCGAGAAATCGTTCCAGAGAAAAGGATGCTTCGAAATCGTAAATGAGGAAGTCCAAAAGCTCTTGCACCAAGACTTCATAATTAAAGTTCCTACAGAAGAAGTTGATCACAGCCAACCTGAATGTTATCTGCCGTTACAAGTAGTCTTCACACCAGAGAAAACCACTAAGGTCCGCCTTGTTTTCGATGCGTGTTCAAAGGGTCACGACGGTCTTTCCCTGAACAATCACCTTGAGAAAGGACCTAATTACATTAACAGTCTTCCCAATGTACTTATGGGCTGGCGGTGGAACGAAGTGGCTTACTCGGGTGATATCCGAAAAATGTTTAATCAAGTCCTACTGAACCCTGACGACCAAGTTTTCCATAGGTTCTTGTGGAGAAGCGACAAAGGTGAAACGCCCTCAGTCTTTCAGTGGCTCAGATTAAATTTCGGCGACAAGCCAGTACCATTGCCTCAAACGCCATCAATTACTTACCCAAAGTCTCACAAGTCAAATTTCCGGACGCAGCCCAGGAACTGCGAGATCACGCGTACGTGGACGATATCGGGGGCTCCAAAAGCAACTGAGCAGAAGCCAAGAAAATAACGAAAAAAATTGACACCATCCTCGGAAAAGGCAAGTTTCAAATTAAGGCGTGGCACTCCAACTGCTCGGAAATCGATCAGTCTAGCGGTGAAAGATTTACAGATCTGCTTGGCCACAAATGGGATAAAGAAGAAGATAAGTTTACCTTCAAGAAAGAAAACATGGTTGGCCTATTGGAGGGCTTCTGCCAAAGAAACTGCCTGAAATTTCTCGCTCAACTCTGGGATCCCACCGGACTTGTTTCACCCGTTACTATCAAGTTCAGAATTGATCTGCAAGCGCTATGGAGTTCAGGTTACAGCTGGGACGACATCCTTCCCGAGAGTATTCAGCAAACATGGTTAGAGAATTTCAGACCATAAATGATCTCTTGTCATTTCAGTTTGACCGCAAGCTCCGATGGTGGGGAACAGGCTTATGGTGCAGTAATCTTCCTACGATGGAAACTTACTGGTGGAGACTACCAATGTGTTCCAGTCATGATAAAGGCTTTCGTCGCACCGCTGAAGAAGAAAAGCATCCCGAGACTAGAACTGTTGGGCTTTTTAGCACTTGTAATGTACGTTACATGTGTAAAGGCCTTGGACTTGACAAAAGCCCAAGACTGGGAAAGATTCTTCTGGGTCGATTCAACAACCGTTTTGTCCTGGGTCAGAACGCCACCACGGGAATTCAGACCCTTTGTATCTACCAGAGTGGCTGAAATCCAAGAGTCA